ACATGTTCGTATTGTGTTTTAAATAAGGCATAAAAAAATGTTATGTTTGGGTGTGTATAGATTGAGGCAGTTGTGTATAGCACAGATATATTATTGGCCATGGAAAAAAAAAAAAAAAAGGAAAACGAACGCGCATGTTCGTGTTGAGGTTTAAATAAGGCATACAAACGCGCATGTTTGTGTGTGTATAGATTGAGGCAGCTGTGTACACCCCACGCCTCAGCCAATTCTATTGCACCTACATGGTCAAATTCATTACCACAAAGGTTCAAGAAAGTCAAAATATTATTCCTATAAGAAGCATTTGCTAATTCAAGTATTCAAGCTGATAAGATTCAAAATTGTTAAAGTGTAATTTTATAAACTTTTGCTAATGCTTTTTCACTTTTAAAACCAAGTTGATTGCAAGCAAAATTCAAAGATATCAAAAAGTAATTATTACAAATAAGTTTTACTATAGTTTTCTACTTTTAGAACCAAGTTGATTTATAGTAAGTGTTTCTAACAATTTTTTACATTTTTATAAATAAGTATATTATTAATAATGAGATTAAATTTATATTTGTAAATAGAATATCCATAAATAATTTGTCATTCTTTCAGAATTAAAGTTATTGTATTCAAGTTTTAGAGAAGTTAGATTAGCCTTATATTAAGGATTTTAATTGTCTCTAGTAATAATTTCATAAATTCTTAAATTTTCAAGATTGTTACATTTTTGCAGAAACATTTTGGTTAACAAAAGTCTAACAGTATAAAATAATTCATAAGAAATAATTTAATTAATAATGTGATTATATAAATAAAGTTGATCTGCACGAGCGAAATGATCTGGTATTGTAAAATAATCTTTTTATATGTTGCACACCGGGTGAAGGATCAGTCGTGTAACATTGACGGTTCCTCCTGTTTATATAGCTTGAGGCTTGAAGTCTTGTTACACTCTACCCTTAAATTTTTCAGTTGGAAAGTTGTCAATTAGTTGATTTTTCAACTAACGATTTGGCATTAGCTTTAACCCATTTTCCACTATATTCGTTCATACATTAAAATCATCTCGTGGCACTAAAGTATATTCAAAACTGCTCACCATAATGATGTATTGATATAATTTCAATATGCCTGAACGAAAGCCAATAATTCTATTGTGTAAGTAATAATTTGCATATATATATATTGTTTTAGAGTAATAATAACAAAATATCAATGAATAGAAATAAAAATAAAAATCTTTAATTATTTACATCTCATGTTATTGATAAGTATGAATTTCACTAAGATGCGGGTTGTGAAATTTTAGTGCCAATCATTAATTTATTGGTTTTTTTTTGTGCATGACTTTTATTAATGATGTTCTATTCCAGTTTTTCTAAAAAAGGTCTTATTTTATTTTTTTTATTAAGCTCATCCCAGATCTGTTTCCCACGCATTTCAGCGACCATTCCTTCAACGCTCTCAAGAATTTCATATTATTTCCGAACCATTACATGAGTTTATTCTTAATCAATATGTAGAAGATGTTAAAAACGGTATTGCAGATCCTTCAAAGCCGTCAAATCCTAATTTCTTCATGCCAAAAGTTTTATCTATCTTTGACGAAGTTTGGAAAACCCATTATGATGAATCCTCAAATAAATCAAAACGAGTACTTTATCATGAACATTCGCGTATGCTTCTAAGTGCCATATCAGAGACTTCCTTTTTAACAAATCCTCAATTTTTGGAGATGACACACACGTTCTTAATCCGTAATCCTAAAAAATCAGTAAGATCCTTATATAAAGCTGCTACCTTCATATTTAATAAAAGTCCCGAACTTGGTTACAAAGGCTTCGATAAAAGTCTAGTAGGATTGAGAGAATCCAAGCAAATTTTTGATTTATTAAAAGACTTAAATAAGCAACTTATTGTTGTGGATGCTGATGATTTGATTAATGATCCAGAAAGAGTTTTGAAGAAATATTGCGAGTTAATTGGAGAGGAATATAAAGAAGAAATGATTCATTGGGAGGCAAAACCTGTTAATGAGTGGAGCGGAAGCCAAAATACCTCCATTGTTGCAAAACTTATGTTCCAGTAAATATATTTTATTTGAAAAATATAAAGTGTTAATTTTGTTTAATTACTAACATAAATAAATCCACTAGTAATGCGGAAAATAGTACAGGCTTTAATAAGTTTACTAATAAATATGATCATGAAACTGAATTTCCACAAATTGTCTATGATGTTATCGCTGAAAACAAATCGTATTATGATTATTTATATCAGTTCAGAGTTCAGAATTTAATTAACATGTAAAAAGAACACATTACATAAATTATTTGGCTAGAAGGGATTAAAATTTCTTTTTTATAGTGTTAAGATGTGTTATAATAATGAGGTTCGAAATAAATAGAAATTAGGAAAACAAAATATGAGCATTTAATACCATTTATTCGAATAACTTATAGCTGTAATATATGACTTAAGAATATAATTATAACATTGCTATATATTTTTGTAAT